GCTCATGGAGGCAGGACAGCATCTACTGCAACAGGGGCAAAGGGACGCAGGGCAGGTGTGGAGGCAGAAGGACAGAGTGTGTAAAGATAACAAGGGGGTTATGTGGCAAGGCAATGCCTGGCATGTGAGCTCCCTGCAAAAATGGCTCATTTCCTCCCCATCCCTCCCCAAGGCCTGAGAACCTGAGCCTTCTCACCGTTTTCTGGGCATTGAACATCAGGCTTCGGTAAAGCTGAGCAAACTGGCCGTATGTTATATCCCCATTCCTCTGTTCCACATCCTACAGCCAAGAAAAGCAGAAGTATTAGAACAACAATAATCCACCAGGGAGACTGACCTGCTCATGGCTTGGAAACACTTCCCTGCACTCGAGCCTTCTGCAGGAGGCAAGGAGTCCCTGCAGAGAAGGGAAAGGGCCAAGGAGAAGAGGATGGCCAAAAACCTGGCCCACTGGCACTCATGGTCCAAGTGGCCATGCCCAGAAATTCAGGTTTCCCTCCTGCAAGTATCACCAGAGAAGGTCTCACAAAACACTCATTTATGTGCAGAAAATGCAAGATGTTACCACTCTTAGAAGTATAAGCTGCTTATCAATTGCAGCACTGTGTGAGAGGTGGTGCCCCATAGCCCCACCCATACTTTCAGGCCTATTTGTAATAGAGAACAGGAGGCAATCATCAGATGATCATATTCTACTGTCCCTCAGTGCTTCCTGTAATGCAGGGGCTCACCCAGCAGACAGGAGCAGGTACTCAGCCTGGCCTCTTCTGCACCTGCCAAAGGGAGCTGGACTCTTCACAGGAAGTCTGAATCCCTGTTGCACTCTTGTGTAAGAAAGACAAAGGCAGCCTTCACAGCTTGGCATCCCTGTTCTTCAGTGCGTGGCTATGTGGCTAAAGTAGGAGACCGAGACTGCAGAACGTGCGGGCTTTAATTCCCATCTCTGCCACTGATGTCTTGTGCCTGTGGCACTCCCAGCAACCCTGTCTATAAAAGGGGGCTCTTGTTTGCTTACTTCCCAGAAATGTGACGCTCAGTGATTGCATGTGTGCCCAGTACTTTGAATTTCTCTGATGACAGTGATTGCCAATCCAATGGGGCGAGACCCTGAAGAGACTCAGTGGTTTAAGAGACAGGAGTGGATAACTGTCCATCATTCTAGATCAGTCTTGCCAGCTGCCCTGGTTACTCGATGACCCTTGACTTGGCCAGCTCCAGGATCAGCTCACTGTTTTCAGAAGACTACGTGTAAGATCAGCTAGCAACCTACTGGTCTGAACTCCTCCTCTCCTGCAGCTTGTGGCCAAGTCAGGACAGACAAGGAATCAGAGGCAACAGCACGTACCTCTCACCCATGAGCAAGGGAACACATGGGGAGCAGGAGCTAAAACACGTGGGACAGAAGAGGGGAATAAATAAGGTGGGAAGTCAGGGGCAAGGTAGAAATGGGTGGGACAAACAGAGCTGGCCAGAAACAAGCCAGGGACTGGGTGCAGTGGGACCATTAATTTACCACAAGGGGAGGTGGGAGGACGTTTCTTTCAGGACAGGCTGGAAACTGCTGCACTACGGAAACACACAGCAGACAAACGGTCACAGGTACAGCCCATTAAGAACCAGACAACAGGCTGCAGAGGAGCCCTGCAGGGTGGAAACCAAGAACTCACCGTTAACCTCTCCCGCAAGAACCGCATGTTTGGGACCCGGTAGTTGACTTGAGAGAGCATGTTTTTCAAATCCTTGGCTGAAATCCTGCTTGCCAGGGGAAACAGAACATAGTTAGATGCTCACCTTGCGTGGCCCAAACAGCCCAACCCCAAAACTTTGGTGCTCCACCCATAAAGCAGAGCATTTCTGAAGGGGAGCAAAAAGCAGTAGCCACCCAATAGAGCCCAGCATGGTAGCAATCAATGAGTGTGTGTGTCAACAGTGCACATTTGCTGCACGCCTGTACCTGCTGGGGGCTAGCAGAGCAACCCCTCTGGCCCTGTCAGCCCACAGAGGGCAGTGCAAACCCACTCAGGGTAGATGGAGGCACTGGGCTTCAACTGGCCACAACATTTTTCCAGGAACAACATAGTACTATTTTGGGGGATGAGGGAGGTGGGATTGACTAAGTCGCACAAGCATTTGCCCTTCAGCCTAGGCAGTCACAACAGAATGAATCACAGAGCCCCCCAGCCTCCGGCTACGACAGAAGTGATCGCAAAACGAACGGGGGTAGGAGAAGGAAAAGGGAGGACTAGGATGGTTGGCAAAGAGAGACCATATAAGTGAGCATCAGGAAGGCAAGACCAGAGGCAAGACAAACCCGCTCACTAGGACAGCAGTTCGGCATTGTTTTACTCCTTTGGACAGAGGCTCACCATCTGTCCGAGGGAAAGGAGACAAGACCTCATGTGTCTGAGCTACAATGCCCAGAGAAGGCTCATGTTTGCCAGGAACGTGAGGAGAAGCCTGGAGGCTCCCAGGCCAGTGTAACAGGTGGTGCTGGTTTGGGCACTCTCTACAGATAAAAGAGGACTAGCTTCTAACCACAGGACAGGGAATTTCAGCAGAAAAACACCACAAGCCCAGCACATGGCTCCCTCCCACTTTGTACAGCCAAGTAAACTACCCAGCCGGCAACAGGCAGTCAGTCGCAAAGATGGATATCTCCATTTGTGACTTCCCCTTCCAGGAAAGAGTTAGCCCCGCAGAGTATGGGCACAGCTTTATCTTGAAAGGGAAGATACAAATGATGGTTTAAGATCTTAAAATGGGAGAGCAACATTTAACAGAGATATACCGAGTACTGTGCAACTCAGAGAGAAGGCATGCATGCGTGTACAGGGCACAGCTGCTGGGGCCTCCGGAGGGCTGGTTTGTTCGGTGTGCATGACATGGTACATGGGGGCTGTAAGGGGACAGGACTCCAAGGGGAGCAATGCTGGTGGCTTGCAACTGGCACTACTGCATGCCTGATGCCAGGAGGCGGCACATGTCCAGAGGTCAGACCACTGCAGCAGGTAGTTTAGGGCAAGCATCAAGAGACAAATCACAAAACAGGAGCCATAAAGGTAAAAAAACAAAAAAAACCAAAAAAAACCCTAGGAGACGCTTCTTGTCACCACCCAGCCTTTGTTCATCTTTCCTGTACATGAACACACACACACACACACACACACACACCAGCAGGTCATCTTTGAGGATCCTCAGGCTTGTGCGTCTGGGGAGGAGAAGGTTCGGCAGCGAGAGAAAGCCAGAGGCTGCAGAGGCATGCCAGGCTAGGACAGGAACCCTGCTCCTCTAGGAACGTGGGTGCAGATGACAGGGGGAATTGGTTGGCCTTCGAACAACCCACCGCCTACTTTGGCCTAAAGGGTTTCTTGTGCTGGAAGGAGACAATGAATTGGAATAGTAGCAAAGCTGTGCGAGGCCCCAGGAGGGCACTAGTCACTAAGGCACACAGGCAGATTTGTTTTGGGGAAGACTTCATAGCTTCAATCCACACTAAAAGGACTGGCCCCCCCAGGGAAAATGAAGTTTGTTCAATACCTGCACCTTACACACCAAGCCAAGGTGAGAGAACTGCCTGGCAGAGAGAATACTGGAAACCCAGCAGTGAAAGGCAGCAGCAGCAAAAACATTTTTTTTTTTTTTAAATAAAAATTAAAAAAAAAATAAAAAAAATCAATCAACATTTATCTTTAAATCTTTGCGTTTACTGGCATCCTGCCATTTTCTAGCCTCCCCACGCTCATTTTCCATGATGCATGCATGAGAAACAGAAGATGTGCGCGTGTGTGCACACAAACAAGCAAGAATATATATGCCTTGGCTTTCCAATCCCTCCCATTACAAACGTACATTTCCCTTCCCACCATGCACACTGAAAACCTTGGCAGAAATCTTTCCCTGCCACGAAGACACAACTTCCAAAAAGCTCAGAGAGAAGAACGATAAGAGATAAATGCCGGAGCTAGTGTCAGCATATACAGTACTGGATGAATCCCAGGCTGGAGGAGTCCGTAGCAGCTGGGAGCTACCACACAACCCTACACAAACTCTTATTTCACTGAGCAGCTCATTCTCAGATCCTAGGGAAGAAATAAGTTGTCTTGACGCAAAGACTGGGACCAGTAAAAAAGAACTGCAATGACAGAGTATCAGAAGCATGCTACAGGGCCATGCCGGCTGTCACCACACTCAGAGTAGTTGGTCACCAGATCACACAGGGATCTGGTGCTCTAACACAGTCCACTGCTTCAAATCCTGGTGCAAATAAACTCGGATCTGAGGCAAACAGCACTGGGAAACAAACAGGTCAGTCTGAGCCCACTTCAATGGGAGCAGCTACAGACTGCAAATCTCTACTCAACATAATACAGGGCTTGGAAATGTATGCTGGCACCGCCTGCAATTATTACAACTTAGAAAGCAGGACCCAGGCCAGATCTGTGGCCCCCACCTCAGAGAGACTCACCAGGGGCACAGGTCTTGTGTCGTCTGACACCCACAGTCTCAGTGAGCTGTGCTCAGAGACAGCTCGAAGCTGGGTACCTGCAGGGTCCGACCCCTTTCTGCAACAGGGGAACAGCATGAGTCACACAGATTGAAGGCAAGAGGTCTCAGCAGCCTATGGCAATGTTATGTCAGGTACAATAGGAGGCAGACACCTCAGTGACTCCAACCCACCCAGGTTATTACAGACAGTCTACAGCCTGGGACGGGGAGTCAAGGCTGTGAGAGACAGAGAGAGAGAGAGACACTGAGAGAAAGGACAGAAAATGCAAATGCTCAACCCAGTCTGACCTCTATCAGAAAAAAAACCTCACACAATTCATTCACTCACTGCTGAATATGCTGACCCACATTATCTCCGTATCCAAGAAACACGATATCCAAGTTCCAAAGCCAACATCTAATAATGTTAGATGTTTTCAACCTGTGATCCATGGACCCCTAGGGGCTCACAGACTATGTCTAAGGGGTCCACAAAAGATGGCTATGATCAAAAGTATACTAATACCCACACCTACAATTCAAAGGGGTCTGCACCTCCATTCATAATCTTTTAGGGGTCCGCAAATAAAAAAAAGGTTGAAAACCACTGCCAAGACATATGATTGCCCAAATGAAAGTGGATGAATCCCAAGCAAGTCAGTGTGAGATACGGATTTGTCTGCAGAAAATTGGATGCTCCCTACAACCTACAGGTGCCAATCTACTCCCCAGGGAGGGGAACTGGAGGGGTTTCCTTTGTAGTATTTGTAGGAAAGCACTGATTAAATTAAAAACCTGTCCTGCTACATTCCAGAGAGATACAGCCCAGACATGGATAGTCTTAAGAGCCTGCAGTATGAGGATTACATCCAGTGATTAAGTCAGGAAATGGAACCCAGTAATTATCTGTTTATTATTTCCAGACCTCAGTGGATGAGCCAAGAGTCCTGTCTGCCAGGTTACTGCTTTCCAAGGTGGGACGGAAAACAGAGAAGGATTAACCCTACACTCACAAAAGGCAGAACAAGACTGGTGTGGGTAGGAAAGACTCAGTAGTTCCATCTTATCGCCGAGGAGGATGGCTCCATGCCGTTTTTGTTTAGCCGTTTCAGTATTGCAGCCTCCTGACTCACCAGTGACAATGCTCCAATTGAGCATTAGCAGGAGCAGATGACCACAGGGGGGCAGGGTTTGCCGCACATCACTGAAGTTCTGGCAGCTGACGGGTGACAATGTCAGACCAGTTGCAATGGCATTAATAGGGAGGAAGAAAGCAAAATGAAAATCACAGCAGTAGATGAGCCTAGTTTCTTCCCATCTGCTCCTGGGAGGCAGCCAGAAGTTGGAATGAATTTTATTTATTGTAGCGCTGATGATGTGACAGTGCTGAGAGCTTCAGATGGGCAGCTGTCAATTATTTTAGAGCTAAAAACTAAAAATAATGTAACAGGCCTCTACTTATAGTAGGTTTTGTTTGGTTAGTTTTTTTAAAGGTACCTAAAGAGAGGCAGGCATAGCTAAGCATTCAAACGCCCATCCCAGCCATCATCTCTTCTGGCAAAACAAGCCCCATCAAATCCTTTGCACTATAACTTTGCCCTCAAAATGCTAGTGAAACTAATGCTAATCTCTCTGAATTAGCCGGGGGGTGGGGAAGATGTGTACTTGCTGTTCTTATCCCCCTTCTGAAAACAGTGGTGTGGCAAATGAAATGCTGATCAGCCATTATGTGTATATATGGATTTGTGGGGCTCACCCTCAGATTTGAAAGCTTGTCAACCTTCTGGTCATTGTGTGGGAAGACTGCTGGCATACGTGAAGCTAGTTTATAACGGGTCTTGGTAGAAAACCGGGCCCTCATTATGCCAATCAGTTACAAAGCTGCATAAGTATTTATGAGAGCACTATCAATGCAACCAGTGAAACGGCATGTGCCAGCTTGCTGGACCAGGACCCCAGTAATGAATGTGAACGGGGATGATCCTTTCCAGCTTCCAAGAACCTGGTACAATAGGGTTGGGGCAAAAGGGGGGGCGGAGTGGGAATAAGGGAGTGATTATTGATGCTTTTTAAAAGATCCTTACTTTTAAACATGCATCTTAGTCTCCTTTTCAAAAGCCACTTCCAGGTTCAAAGCCAGAGATGAAATCCCAGCTCCGAGTCCACACTCCCTGTTTCACCCCATCCTTCTTAATTCCCTCTAACTGCTGCATCTGGTTTACTAAGGAACCTTGGGTTGTTCTAAAATGGAAAGAATTCAAGCCTCATCCATTATACTCTTTATGCTGTTAGTCAAACATCTTGCCCCTCTCAGTCTGGATAATAAAAATAAGGCTTGTTGCTTTCACTTTTTTGCATTTAATTGAATTCACCTGAAGGCTCGCACAATTTGCCTAGTGCTGGAGGACATGTGTGCTGCTGACTTTATTTTAAATGCTAGTGGAAAAAGACAATGTTAAAAAAAAAAATGACAGAAATGGATCTTATTCGCTTTAGACAAGCAAAAAGCTCATGTTCTATTTGGGTAGTTTCTGGGCAGAAGGCTTGGGTGTGCTTACAATATTAAAATGTTATGCCCCATGCGTCCTGAAGATCTCATTCAAACAGCACTGTGGGTGATTGGGTGTGTTAAACTACATTAAAGGCCAAGTATTTCTTCTCTTTTAAATTTGATCCAGATCAGTGCACGCCCACTACAGCACCTGCATTAGTTTTGTACAGAGTTGCTGAGTATGCAAATAGCTAATTTGCACACAAAGAAGCCAATTAGACACACCAGAGAAGTAGCCAGCATTCAGATCTGGGATGCTGCAGCTGGTAATTTGGCTCTTAGCATCCCACACAAACAGAAACTTGATCAGTCCTCAGTTTAACAGAGATTCTTGTTTATATAAACCAGATCCTGCATCTTATTTTCCTCTCCCCCTCACAGACAGCAGTGGAAACAGATACAGTCTTAAAAGACAAGTCACGACAACAGAGGGTGTCGAGTGCATCAGAGCAGCTGCAAAAAGATACCTTCGCTTCTCCCAACTCCAGAGCATGATCATCTCCCTGGTCCTACGTGCATCATCTCACCGAGTCATGATACATCAACCTAAGTCCATCAGGATATCAATGATGAGAGACACCCACCTCTCCCTCTCAGACACTTTGCCCTGTATTTTGGCTGGCCTAGATGTAAACCCAACCTGCTCTACTCCAGAGCCTTGTTTCTGCCCACGAACACAGGCTGGAGAGAGGAACACAGCTTATATAGTGGGCCACAGTGAGAGAGGTGCCAGGCATTCCCCTGGCATGGCTAGGAACAGCAGGGAATGAGAAATCAAACAATGGAGGAGGCATCAAGAGATCCCTCCCAAATGAGCAGTCAGATATTCGGTGGGGATTTTCAAAGCCATCCCACAATACCCCAACCACGCCCCAAATGCACATGCAGCTTCCCCAGGATGGCTGTTGGCACTACCAACAAGAACATGACAGAGAAGTTCCTTGGCAGTTGTGCCAGGGCATGTGGCAGTAGCTTCCAATAGGGAGCAGAATAACTGAGCCTTAGGAAGGTGGAACTGGCTGGCTTGCTTTTAATACAATGTTCTTCTGTTAGGGGGCAGGGAAGCAGGTAAGGAGATCCTTTGAAATATTTAAAACCTGCCAGGTGCTCCATCACTATGGAAATACGCATGGACTCAAAGCCTAAATAAATAAGGCAGGGGCAGGTATAATCCTTTGGCATACGGAGACAGTCTGAGGGCACAGGTTGTGATATACATGCTGCCTCCACAACCTTCTCTGCTTTCTCTCTCTCTAATCAGCAGGAATCAATAAAGGTTTCCCCATCTCTAGGGAAGGAGCACTTTGGAAAAAAAAATCAATACGAAAAAGGTTAATGTCCTCTGTTAACATCCGCAAAGAAAACCACATCCTGGAAACTGAAAGGAGGCCAAGGACAGCATCCTCAGCAGGAGAGGCCTCTATCTGGGCCACGCCAGTGCAGAGGGCAGACAGAGAGAACACTGTACCCACATCAGTGGGGCACGGACTAAAAAGGGCAACATTGCTCTTGCCGGAAAAAATTCACCCAGGCCTTCATGCCACTAAAACCCCATCAGGGTTCATAAAATACATGAGCTGCACAAAGGTCCTCCTCATGGGGAAGCGGGGGTGGGGGGACTGGGAATTATTATTTATAGTGGAGCCCCACCAAGGTTCCTTAGTCAGGATGGGGCCTACTGAGCTACATACTGCACACACAGTAAACATGTCCCAAAGAGCTCGTCATCCAAAAGCAAACCAGGTGGATGAGAAGGAGAGGGCAGTGAGGCAAGAGGAGAGTAATAAAAATAGGATGTTTTAGTGCAGCTTTGGCTGCAGCTCCTGTTTATTTGCTTTTCTGTGCACTTCCTGCAGCACGGACAATGGGGGCTACACGGGTCGGTTTCACTTGCTGGCTCCCAGGGGACCCCAGCACCGTGGTGCTTTGCGTTCTTCACTGCAGGGAAGTCGGTCAGTACAAACAACCAGTGTTTTCATGGAAGTTTAAAAACAGTCAGGAAGAGATTCAGGCTCCTATTAAGGCTTTTTTTCCCCCCCCCAAAGAAAGAATAAAACTTTCATTTAAAAAACAACAGCCTATGCTTTGGACTGTAACTGCTATTGACAAAGACCCTTTCAAGGCAGATGGAAACAGCTTTTACACTTGGATCGTATGCTGTCAAGTGTTATAAAACAGAAGCCCGAGTGCCCAAGCTGAGCTCACACAAGCAATCTTCACCCCTGCTCCCTGGGCCAAGGACTTCAGCAGAACTGCTCCCCTGACAGGCTGCACGATTGTCTTGGTTTGCAGCCTCAGCAGGAGGCGCTAAAATGCCATTGTTACAGATTTGGGGTTTGCAATCCAACAGTTTATGCCTAGTGAGAAGCGGGTCTTGCACTTCTTCACTTTGGAGACTCTGACACCAAGAAAAATGGGTCCAACCTTCTCTCTCACCCCCCATCCAAATAGGCCTTTTATATTACCTGTCTTCTCGGTTGCGATCCAGCGAGTAAAACTGCTTCCGAAGCCACCTGAAAGGCAACATACATGGTAGATTTTGCCAAGTAAATCTTGGATGAAGCCCTTCAGTTCAGGAGACATGAGCTTAAACACCACCCAACTTGCAAGTGGAATGAGATGGAGTCTCTCAGCCCAGCTCTTAGTGGCTACTTGTTCATACCCCATAGACACCTCCACAATTCAGCAGCGGGTTTGCCAGCACAGCGCTGGGCTCCAAAATGGGAAGGAACAGCAAGGGGTGCTTACCAAGGTACCTGCAGGCCTGAATAAAAAGGGAGGGAGAAGGGCACTAGCAGAGATGGGCTCAAAAGACAAAACGGGCACAATGCAGAGGCCAAGCCGAGAGCAAGGCACTGGCAGAGCTGCGTGGAGGAAGCTCTCAGAGCAGCAGTGCGCACTATACCTGCCTGGGCCTCAGTGGCATTAGCCCCTCTCATCCCACCTGCTTACCTCTCAATCTGCAGGGGAGTGGTGGCCTTCAGAGTATCTGCCACAAGCCAGGTTAACCCTTTGATCCACATGTTTACTTCATCTTCAGATGTGGCTGTGGAAAACAAGGAACAGGACATATGAAGGAGTGAGACTGGCATGCTGAGGCCCCAATGTCCACACAGGAAGCCCAGGCACAGCTGCAGCAGGGCAGGAAAATTCATATCAAATCTCAACTGCAGCATCTGTTGCCTATTATAGTAATAGTGAAAAAAAATAAACTAGCACCATTGTCTGCTCTGACCTCTTGTGCTGACCGAGGCCTCTCAGATCCCTTACTCTACGTCATCGGTAACTACACACCTCACTGATCCTCTCGCGCTCCCAACAGCATCTCCCTCTGATGCAAATTCTCCCCAGGAGACTTTCTCCAACCATCTCCTCTCCCTTGTAGGCTCCTGCTGTCTCTCAGGACACCAACAGACAGATGGTTTAGATTCACCTCTATACTCCAAGCTCTGGTCCCATTTACTGAAGAGGTCTGGGCGGCTTTATTTATTTTTTTTTGCTGCCTCCGTTTTCAAGAAATGACATTCAAGCCACTCTGGAGACGCAATAGGCAGCTATTCTTAGATTGTTTGCTGGTTTCTTTTTAACCTCTCCATTGTTTGTTGTATCCTCTTTGAAGACAGAAAACAACATCTCTCCACTCATTCATTTGGGTGACCTCCAGGTCGAGAACACAATTGTCCTGCACACAGAGCAGCCAGCGTGAGTGCCCAACAGGGGCTTGTCTCCACGGATAAGTCGCCCTGGTTTAACCTATATCAGTTGTTATTTCAGCTGATGTGGTTAAACCAGGGCCAACAGGCTGTGGGACAACCTTACTTCGGCTGCAGAATTGAACGTTGCAATTCAGCTTAAGTCAGAAGTTTTAGACATGCTGCTCTTCAACCAAAACAAGGATATCCATACAGCCTAAAGGTACTAGTTTAAACACATCCATTTAAGCTCATAACTTAAGCTAAATTAGAGAAAATTTCCCAAAACCCAAAGAACAATAAGAGGAAGGTTTGACCTGAGGGGTATTCAAGCTACCTTCCATCCTTTCTCACTGGGAATTCAAATACTACTGGTGTGTTTTGCCTACTATGGTGATAGGCAACATGCTCAGTTCTGCCCAAGACATGGAACTAGATATGGCTTCTGTCCAGTGGAGCCTGCAATCTGAATAATGCCCCAGATCCCATGAGAAGGGAATGCCCACCTTGCAGGCTGAGAGTTTTCAGCCTGAATTCCATTCCATAGAGGACGACGAAGCAGTGAGACTGGTCTGGCCGGAAGCAGGGATCCTCCTGGTATCGGTCAAAGTCTCGGGAATTCTTTCCTGGACGAATCTCTTTGATTTCACGGATATCAACTAGGGGAGGCAACAAAAACCAAGGAAAATGCAATGAGAGGACTGGAGACCCAGTAAAACTGTGTTTGGGGCACCTGGGACTCCCAGGAACATAACTCAAGGAACTAAAAGGCAAAGCAGAAGGGTGGTCCAGTAGTTAGGATACTCACCTACAAGTTCCTGAAAGACAGACAAAAGACAGGAAAAGGAATCAGCAGATCTAACCATGGAGGCTCCAGTCCTATATGGTGATGTGTGTAACTGGACTACTGCAGTCTATACAGGCTGGGGACAAAGCATGATGCTAAACCCGACTCAGGAACAGAAAGATGGAGCCTGTTCTCTGCACTTCATTTTCAATCATGAAGGAAAGAGGGGTTTGCCTAACAGCATCTTGATAGCCATTGAACTGCATTAGCTCAAGTGAGGTTAGGCTCTGGACAGACATTTCATCACTGAATTGCTGAGAAATTCATGGGAGAGGAAGTCAAACAGGTTAAACTGAGCACAGGTCTACTTGGTTTGAACAGGCTCCTGCAAAACTGGCAGCCTTGGTCAGGCCCTTGGGAACTGTCTCCTTGCTAGACTGAACACCCCATACATCCCTACAGAGATGATCTGTAAATCCCATGGGTTACAGGAGTAACAGCGCCTGGCAGGAGTCAACCAGACACCAAAAATATTTAAAAGATCTAAAAGAAACAGAGGCAGTATGGTTTAGTGAGTAATGTGTGGGACTGAGAATTAGGGACTGCTCAATCTCACACCTGCTGCAGCTTGCTGTCTGATTTTAGTCGTCACACCACCATACGGTGCCTCACCTATGAACGGTGAAGGGTAAATCTTATCCACCTCACAACGGCGACTGGAGGATTGTTGGTTAATGCCCGATCAACCCTTTAAAGATGTAAAGGGCTGACAGGTGCCCACCCTTGTTCTACAAAACGAGAGCACTTCATTCCAAGCACGTTCACTGGCCCTCTCTCCAGGCAGTGCCTTGTTGCTTTCACTGTTCATTAATAATCATGATTGCTGGAACACAACCAGGATCTCAGTCATTAGGGAAGACACAGGGAAGGACACAGATAACCCAACTGTCCTTATCTGAGAGTCTGGCAGCACAGGTGACATTACCCAACTGAAAATTCGGGTCACAACTGACTGGATTTCCCTGGAAGCACCGGAGGGTGGGGAGGGGAAGACTGCTCTCTAACAACACTCATCAGGGCATCACTTGTAGTCTAAATGAGTCAAACCCACCCTGTTCTCTGCAAGCACTGAGAGCCCTACCTGCAAGGAGTGAGATGGGGATGAGGAACAATTAGTAACCTAAAACATGGGTGGCTGTTTCAGGGTACGGGGCCCAAGTGTCCTTCATGTCTCCATGCAGTGAGGTGGGACTGGACTGGGCTGGGAGGGCCCCAACAGAAATGGATAGATGAGGCAGTTGGGTTTAGTGTGGCTTCAACGCTGACAATCTATGCCAATAAAGCATATGGAGTGACACCAATGCTGCTTCACAACCTGGAGGGGTGAAAAGCAAGAATCACTCTACTTCACACCAGTCATAAGGAAAATTTGGACCCCAATTCATATTAAGCCCTTCCATGTTTATACCTTGACCTCTTCCTCAACAGGCTTCTCACTCATAAAAGCCTTTGACAGCCTGACCTCACACCTAAATCCAAGCTTCCTCCCACTCTGATGATTTATGTGCCCTTGAAAGGGCTGAAAGAGCATTCAGTCTCCACTAAGATGATTCCTGCGAGGGTGGCAGTGGTGACTGCTGGAATGTGAACCCTTGTTAACTGCAGAGATCCACCAACTCGGTTCATACAGAGGCTTTTTGGAGTTGCACCTTCTGAAAAATATTTTCCAGCAACCTCCCTCCCCTTTCCACTACTGACCTGGGTCATCTCTTGCAAGTGGATTGGCTGGGAACCTTCACATTTGGTTTTACTCTGCTGAACTCAGCAAGGACTGCTGCCTTGGGCAATTTCTGTGGAGCCTGATGGATTCGTTTTGGAGGTTTTAAGTACAGTACTTTCCATCCTTTCGTTATTGTCACAGTTTATAAACCCCAGCTGGTCCTGCACAACTAGAGCTTACCACGCAACTGTGGACATTAAAAAACCTCTGCCTGTGAACTGCCAGTATGTAAGAACCGTATACATGTCCAGACTGAATGTAGTTTAAACACCAGTCAAAACTGAGGCAGTCAAAAACATACATCAAGGTGTCACTAATCAGGTGACACTTGACAAGCGTGAAAAAGCCTACCCCTCAAGAAATCTCTATAAAAGACTCACAACATTTTGCTATACTGCAGTTGAAAAAAATCCAAGTCTATGATTTTGGAAAAAACTTTATTAAAATATTTAAAAGAAAAAGTAATAAAACGTAGCCACATTTACTTGCAATGTTTGGATGCAAATACAGTAGTAAGTTACTACAAGACAGCTGCAATTCACCTGACAAATTCTCTCGCTCTCTGCCAAAATTCATGGCACAGCCTGGACTGACATACTCACGGAGCCGTGAGCCTCACACTAACCCTGGCATTGTATGCAGCCACGCCATGATCCCCAACTCTTCTCCAGTTCTTATCCCGTTACTAAGACAGCTGTGCTCACACTTGTATCTCATGTCCAGAACCTAGCTATACAATACAGAAGGCCCACCTCATACTCAAACCATTCCCAATAGTCAAGTTTTTATCATGTGTATGCATATGCATACACACAACCCATACCCACAGTCTCTCCCCCACCATTCAGTTAAAAAACCTTTTATTACCATATCTGTTGCCTCTAAAAAAAAAAAAAAAAGCCACTTTATTTCTTACAACTGTGGTCAACCCTTCTCTTCTGTTACAAAGTGTTTCAGGACCCTCCTCTGGTATGTCCATAGAAAACAGGAGTCTGGTCAGACGGTTCTGGGTTGGGTTATGATCTTTAAAATCGAGAGCCTGTGTGTTACAAGGAAAGCTGGGACAAGTCACCATCCAGCCCATAATTTATAGCAAACCATCCTGACCTCATCCAATGCAGCAATGCCAGACAGATCCAGTAGAGGACATCATTCTTCAAAACTAAGACCATGCAGATGAGAACATAAACTCCATATAATAAGCAGTTGCCTGCACTGACAAAAACCCCCCAGACTATTGGTGACACTTATGTGGCAAATGCAAGGGCCTTCAAGTGCCAAGCTATTAGCAGTATTTCTTATCAGCTGTATACAAACACACAAGGCTAGCAACATGCAGGGGCAGAGTTAAGGCTATTCAAAGTTATTTAACTCTCTGGTCCCATACCTTTTCTTTATTATTATGCATGGACTACACCAGTTACAATCATTTTATTGTTATGGTTGTAACTAGAATTAACAGCAAGTCTTCTGCTCCCTCAGCTTATGGATATGAATTTACAAACTTTAACCTGGGTTAACAAAATCCAATGTAAAGTTGTTTAAGCTAGGAATCGCCACATATTTAGAAACTCTTCCTCCCTCAAGTACAACTGTACTGATTTAAACCACTGCATTCGGTGGTTCAACAGTGAGCAACGTCCCTCTCCCTCTTCCCTGCTACCACTTCCAAAGTACTCCAGACACTGATGTTTCCACTTCTTTGGGAGGATCCTTGAGCAAGACGAATTATGAACAAGCCTCGTGCTGACCACTCCCTGACCGAGAGGCGCCAGGAACTCGAGGACAGACTTAGCGTTCGTGTACGTCTGCAAAGCTGTGAGCACGGCCAGCCAGAGCCACTACGTGCGTGAATGCAACACCGGCACATTTCGCAGGCTCTTCCCCAAGCAGAAAAGGATGAATATGCCACACGCATTGGGGCGGCACTCAATAAGCCACAGGAAACGCACAACGCAGGAATCAACAACACATCACCTTCCGAGCTCCAATTGTGCCTTAATTCCCTGAAGTATAAATGACAAGTTCCATGTTGAGCAAGCTGCCCTGCTTCCAGATAAGAAGTCTCCCTGCCCCCCAACAGGAAACATCCCGTGCCTCGCTGCTGAGCAGCTAGCACAGCACAAGTATTGGAAAACACATAAAAAGTGAAGTCTCCCGAGATCATTTGAGCTCCAGAAAGCAGGCTGCCATCAGCAGTGAAACTGTGCACCCAGCCCCTATAAATCCATGAGCCTGGCCAGAATTGGAGAGGGACAAGGAACATGGTACAGTTACCATCTGTCCCTGTATTTATAGGGTACAATCCTTTGCTTGTAGGATGACTTCAGTGGGCTTTGGATCCATCTCTATTAGTAAATCCCAGCTTTGCTCTGAGGTCCAAGACAGAGAGGACTTAGGAGTACCAGACAAATCTAAGACAGAGGCAACTTGCTGAAGGTGGAAGTGGCCATCTCTGAACCCAAGGGATTGGGTTCAACAGACTGCCCCTCCACTAGGATCACCAGGGATATTGTAGTGCAGCTCTTCTATTTATCACATACAAGGCATTAATTTCAGCCGATTCATTATTGGTACATCAGCTTCTTGTTTCCTTCAGGCAAATGATCGAGGTGAAAAAACAGTCAGTGGACACGGCAGGTTCAGTTTCAGGCAATTATGAAACAGAGTCAAACCCCAAGCTTCAAATACCAGGAAGGCAGAGTGTAGCCAGCAGGGACAGACCCTCCCCTGGACAGGACTCTGAGAAGCGGGCACGGGCTGTAGAAATCCTCACGACTCAAGACTGGGATGATTTGGCACCACACTGTTGTGAGGAGACGATGCCAGCCAAAAGATGATCCCCCAAAGGGAAAAGGAACTAAGAATACCCCAAAATGGGAGACCCCCGCTAGTCACCCAGCGAAGTGATCTCACTTACAGCAGCAACCACAACCAGGAAGACAGCGAGAAGAGCAGGTCCCATTTCAGGCTGAATTTATTTCAGAATCTGGAACAATGCATCTGGTTGGCAAGTCGATGGACAGGACCAACATGGTAATGTGAGGTGG